AACGATTAGTAGACAGTTATGGATGTTATGGGACAATTTTTATCCTTCTGGTATATTTTTGTTTTCACTTTCGCTGTAGAAGTTATTTATATATTATCTGACTAGCAACTTAGCAAGTTTGTTTAATCTTGTATGTACATAGAAAAATAATGTTAAGCAGTTGAACAGATACCTGCAAAATTGAAAGAGCTCCAAGGTAACCTCGGAGGTCGCTGTTTGAATATCTTCAGCCTTTGAGATATCCTATGGCAATGAACTTCTCCTGTCCTGGCGGAATCCTGACACATGAAGTTCAATTCAGCACATAAAACATATCGTCTATGGACTATACATGTTTCGCACGTTGCATATCCTTGCGCTCTTACATTACATAGCTTTGCAATGGCAAAAAGAAAAAGAAATCGCTTAGGAACACGGTTGAGTGACAAAAAAACTTACTTTGCACATATCTTGTCGAGACCATAGACTACAAAACCTGTACATACAAAAATATACAACTTTTAGATTTGGAAGACTCATCAGATTTCTTCTGAAGATTTTGAAAAAAGGTGGAAACTTACGCTTGAATTCCTTGAGGCTGTCTTGAAGGTGTCTATATCCAAGGATAACTGCTATGGGGTATCCATTCTTGTCTGATCCCTGTAAAAACATCGTGTTCTGTGCAATTTGGTTTGGAATCTCGGAAGCAGAAATAGAACCTTTAGGAACAAAATCGCGTCTCCATTTCAAGTACTTGAGGAACATTGCAGATGCCTGCTCTATATCCAAATCACGAGCACGCAGGAACCTTCTTATCGTCAGATCATCCACTTCCTGCACACAATTACACACCGCATTCCCAAAATCAGCTATGCAAACTACAGAACACAAGATCAATGCGCCCGAAGAACAGCACTGGCAAAGAAAGCATGACATGGTTCAAGTAAATCAAGCCATCCTTCCAAGTAAAGGAATAATAATTTCTAATTTACCGTTGCTTTCAATTTTTGGCTTTGTACTCAAGCTTATTGTGAGAAGTGATTAACTCACTAATCAATCACGTTATAAGCCAAAAACTATCTATATATTAATTTCATTTTTGAAATTAGAACTACTATTTTCACCCTTTTTTGCAAGACCGATTCTTACAAATTAAAAAATATGCAAGTATTTTTTCACTGGTAAGACAGCACCTTGGAGGATGGATCTTTGCCTTCGACGAATTCTCTCACACGACGAATTCTCATCAGTGTCCCTGCTTCTTCTGCTTCATCCTTCATGGTTTCCTTGCACTCCATCTCAGACACTACCTGCATGCCCTCGAGCATATATAAATAGCTAGCAAGTAGTTCTGCTGAGAAATACTCACGAGTTTTATAGCCCTATTTTTTGGAGTATGATTTCGAATCTATAACGCTGGAGTTAGCTTCTTCAAAATTGTCAATGATGCAATGCATGATGAATCTCTCACACACCGATCGAATTCGGGTTGGTAGTGAGGCTCAAATGCCATGAGTACCAATGCTTTCGGTCAAAAGTAAGGTTTGTTATGAATGCTTATATCACAACTTTAATTAACACTTTATGATGATTTCAATACCACATCATTACAATGGATTTATTGCGTGGCTAAGTTTAAATCTTACTTACCTAGTGTAAAATATTATTTGTTAAAAAACTAGAGTAAAAGATGACCATGTTAGAGCAACTCTAGCGTGACAAATGCCCCCTAAGGCAACTAATCGCATTTAATGAACAGTAACTACCTTTTACATCTTCACCCTTAAACTAAATAGTCATGGCAATATGCAATAAAATATTAGTATTTTTTATTTTATAAAATAATGCAAAATAATTTTATTTGTAATTTCGAATAAGATTTTTAATCGTTTTCATTACGCCACATGTCATTGTCCGAAAAGACAATTTTTGGTGATAGAGTTTGATAAGATTTTGGGTAAATTACATTTTACCCCCTCAGGTTTGGGGTCGATTTCAATTTCTTACAACATCTTTAAAATATTTCAATTTCATACATTAACTTATCATTTTATTTCAATTTCATAAATCCGTTATAAAATCTGTTAAGTAAACTGTTAAGTGATGACGTGGCAAATATGGGTTCCCATCTATGCTAACATGGCTAAAACTTAATAAAAAATTAAAAAAAAAAAAAAACAAAAACAAACAAACAGAAAAAAAGAAGATCCCCTTCTTCTTTCCCACCCGAGCCCATTCCCATTACCCACCCTTACCCGAGCCCACCCCCTTCTCCCATCTCCTATCCCCCATCACCTACCCCTTCACCTTGCTGAGACGCCAGATGTAGTGGGCGTGAAGCCGCCATAACCCGTCGAGAGCGAGGACCACAGATCTCAGCTATTGGCTGCCGCAGCCGCAGCCGGTGTTGGCTTAGTGCCTGGTGCATATCAGCTCCCAGAGCCGCTCATCCTCCGCCGTCTTGTCCCACTGCTTGCTCACGCCTCAACAAAAAAAAATCATGAAACACCTTCACCCAGATCGTTGCACCTACTCATCCCTTCCTTCCCGTCGATGTTGCACGCCTCAACCAAGCTCAGCTGGCGCGGCGTTGCAGATGACCCTCCAGTTCTTCACAGCCCGTCTAACCTTCTGGGTTCGAGACTCCAAGATCTTCATTTCCCCTTCGATTGCTTTTAAGATTATTAAACGGTTAAATGATCCGAGATTAGGGTTGAAATTCTTTGAGCTCAATAAGGTTAATTTGAGTAGTGTATGGACTTACATTCTCTTTTGAGGTCTCTGTGTCAAATGGGGCTTCAAGATTTGCTAAATTGGTGTTTGATTGCATGAGGAGTGATAGGCATACACCTAATGATTCTGCCGTGGAACTCTTGGTGTCTTCATATGCTCAGATGGGCAAGTTGGATAATACTAAGAAGTTTCTTGATGAAGCTTATTTTGATTTATGGGTTCTGGAAGAAGTACAGAAATTTATGGGGGTTTGGAGGGAGAAGATGAGGGAGAAGGAATGAGGAGGAAAAGGAAGGTACTTTCACGGCGTGGCGGATCTAGGCCCTTGCAAAAGCAAGAGCAATGATGGAGAAGGAGAAGAGCTCTGGAACTCGAGGGACCAGTTGAGCCTGGTTGAGGAGGTACAATGTCGACGGGAAGGAAGGAATGGGTGGGTACGGCGATCTGGGTGAATGTGTTTTAGATTTTTTTTCTAAGTTTTAAAATTAAATTTTTTTTATTACGTTTTAGCCACGTTACATAAATGTAGCAACGTCACCATAGATGAGGACTCCATATTTGTTACGTCATCACTTAATGATTTACTTAACAGATTTTCTAACGGATATATGAAATTGAAGTAAAATGATAAGTCAATGTATGAAACTGAAATGTTTTAAACATGTTGTAAGAAATTGAAATCGATCTCAAACCTGAGGGGGAAAAATGTAATTTACCCTAAGATTTTTATCCAATGCAGACGTGCCATGTGTCGTTACTTTTTTTAGAATTGTTGAGGATAGATTTCCGATAAGATTTTTAACCAATCATGTTGCGCCACGTGTCACAATTTGGTTACAATCTTTGATGATAGATTTTGATCAGATTTTTAACGAATATGCTAGCATTTTCAAATTTGCTAGCATTTAAGATAAGGCAAGTGGAATGCCTTTGGAAATAGCAAAAACCATATTTCAAGGCAACTTCAAATTTGACATCTCTTTGTCTATGCCAGCTTAGCTTTTTTTTTTTTTTTCCATGTCAGTTTTGATATCTCGGTTGGAGTAAATGGTATGTTATTTGTTACTCTTATATATCTATGTGGTAAGACCATCTCCAAAGGAGATGTCAAATTTTAAACATAAAATTTAAATTTGAAGGCTTATGTGGCATATTGATATTTTGAATATTTTTATTCTCCACCCGATATGTCTAATCTAAACTATTATTTATTAAATTATTTACTTTTCATAAGTGTAATTAGTATTTTTAAAACAAAAGATAATAATAGAAATTATCAAAAGCATTTACTACTCACTAAATATAGATGTGAAGTTACCATTAAATTTGATAGCAACCCTCTTTGTACGAACGTTTACTGTTTCGAATTCGAATGATGCATCAGCAATAAGAAATTTGTGTGTGGCTGAGCAGCTTTGGAATGACCATTTCTCCCATGGTCATTCCGAATTCGACTTGTCTTCATATCGAACAGAACCAAACCCTATAGGTTCGGTAGTAATTCGGTACTTTCAGGCATACCGAATCGTAACGATCCGGGCTGAGGCCTACTCCTAATAGAACTCTTGTCCTTCATAAAGCCAACAAATTAAGAACTGTCATGTATATATAAAATAAAATAAAATTAATGTTGTTTAATTGTATTGTATATATAACTCAGGTCAAAGTGTAAAAAAAATTTGGTTACGGTACATGTATTTACTTAATACATTGCATCAAAGGTAACATAATGATCAACATATCTTTGAAATTCATCTACTCATGTGAGCCTCAGATAATCATGAAATTGAAGTTTAACAAATCTGTTTCAATGGTACCGCAATTCATGGACCTTTTTACTCGACCCTAGCGAAAGTCTGCCTTCTAAAAATTGGTGTGGGATATCGAGTGTGTTGAGCTGAATTTAGAAACACGCAATTATCAGGGGGAGCAACCATAAAATATGTTATTTTACTACTTTTTTTTTTTTTTTTCCGTTTTGATTAGGTGCCTAGCAAAAATTTAACGAGCCAACATTGGAGAGTTTAACGTGATATCAATAATCTCAATAAGGGTTACACTCTTCTAAGTTCTAACTTAGCTACGATGTTTTTTTAACGAGGTCACTAATTATTGAATTGGAGTTACAAAGAAGTGTCGTAAAATATATATAGTTGATGACTTTAATCAAGCTAGTGATTAGGGCAATCAGTAATATGAAGGGAGCGATTACCGTTGTTACCATTTACAGTAGCTTAATTGATGAACAAGCATCCATTTCGGCCAAATTTTAACGGTGTCGGTTGTAGTGGGATAAGTGGAGTAGATATTGTTATAATCTCACCAAACGTTTACCTTAGTAGTTGTAGTGATCAATCAAATATTACAGCAAGTAATATGAACCACCTAATATTAGGTGTGAGGTTTTAGCCTCGGTGTTTTCTAATTATTCATGCATCATCAACTAAGCAAGCTTAAGTGCTTAATCACCGCCTTGGCTTTAAGCTCATCTATAACTACTTGATGGTGTCTGTGGCTCTCCTGTTAGACTGAGAGAAGATAACGGTTTTGAAAGGAACTCCGCGGGATCAACTTCCCGGGAACTGCTCGAATCCACAAGGGCAGGTGCCAAAGGCTGAGACAAGTCCTTGTCCTCCTCAGCATTATAGAAACATTTGCGTTTCTTAGCATCAACAATTACCTTCTTCCAAATACTCCCACTCTTAACCAAAGTTGGTTCGTTCCCCAATATCCAAAGACAATACCTGCGTGTGTATTATTTTTTTGGTCAATGTATATATAGACACATAACGTACAACAAATTAAACGACCAAAAATTCAGACATCTAATCTACAATAACATGTATTGTATGAGGCGTACCTTGCACGTGTTAGCATCACATTCGCTCTCTGACGATTCGAGAGGAATCCCACAGATCCATTCTCATTACATCTGACTGTGGAGATTATTATCACATCCTCTTCGCCACCTTGGAATCCGTCAACAGATCGCACACTTAGGGCAAAGTCACTAGTTCCAGAGTTTGCACTGTATTTTCTGACCCTCGCTTGAATTGCATCAACCTGTGCTTTGTAAGGTGATATTACTCCGACACTAACCTTCTTCTTTGTGCAAGTGAACTCTGCGATCCAGATATAAAAATTACGCACAGAAGAATCTTCAAGAACTCGTAGCCATAAAATCTACTGACTTGCAATAAAATTTACCTCTGTATAGGCTTGCAACTATCTCATAGACCACAGCAACCTCAGCCATATTTTTCTGGCTACTCCCGCGATCAAATTCTTCTTTTCCATTGGCTATATTAATAAACGAGTAGCATCCGTACATTTTTCCCGAAAGAAAGCACTTGTCATAGCTTTTTTTATTGACATTCGAACCATCTAGTAACCGGTGGTTGTAAAACTCTCTATTAGGAAATAAACTGATCCAAGGATGCATTCTATACTGGACATTGAGAAGGAGCTTCTCGTGTCCCAACTGTACAAGTCTTTCAAACAAACTTCTCCCAAATACAGCCTTCTCGGAGATCTAACAAGTTCATGTACTAAACTGTTAGATAATGTGGATGTGGGTGTGTTTTTGTGTGCGTGTGTGTGTGTATTTATGTATGTATGTATTCAAAAACCTGAAAAACACAGAGGAGAGGACGAAATGAAGACCTTGCTTTTCACCATAGCGGGGAGTTGCCTTTGATCCCCAATGAGAATAGCATGGCGAAGACCAGGGAGTTGCAAAGGAATTAACGATTCACATTCTTTAAGCTGAGCAGCTTCATCAACCATCAATATTTCTACCGGTTTCATTCCTTTTGTGTACAATTTAGAAGAGCTCGAGACAGTGCAACATATTAAGCAAGCATTTTCCAAGCAAAAATTACCTATTTCCTTCTCGTCAGTCAAAATAGGAACAGAAAATGCGCGAAGCGACCTCAGTATACAAACTAATTGCATCCTTTCATTAGAAAAACCAACCTCATCAAATAAATATTTGCAAGAGTTGAGCAAATCCAAAGCTGTAATCATGTCCTTGACTACCTTTATGGACATGCAAGAAGTTGGTAAGTGGGTGTACAAATTTACCATACAAATCTTGAGGCACTCACCAATGGAATCAAATTCTTCCTTCACAAACTCCTCAAATGTCATAAGATCATTATCATCGTCACTTGTTGAGTTTCTACCATTGATTAACGACATTATCACTCCCTTCAGCATCTTCATCCATGTATTATCGCCCTCTTTATCCTCATTGTTTCTTCTCCTTTTTTCTCTCAAATACGCTGCGTACTTTTCCTTTGGATCCTCAAGTAAATCAATCATTGATGCTAACCGATGTTTCCATCCACTCAAAGGGGCAAAACACTCGGCCAGAATTTTAGTACGATAATCAAGAAATACATCAACAAGGTCATCATGATCATCAATCTTCATCCTCTGCTCGTTCCCAAATAGAATTATATCCCCAAGCCCGTACTTACCGTAATCAAGTGACTGATTTACCAATCTCAGCACGCGTGCTGTTACTTCTAACACGGCAATATTGGTTGGAGCACATGTTAATGTTCTGCACTTCAATTTAACCATGGCAAAGAGTGACATACCGACTGTCTTCGTTTTTCCAGTTCCAGGAGGTCCCCATATTAGTTTTATGGTATTACGGTGGTTGCATTTACTTAAACTAATACAATTCAAAACTGCAGCCTTTTGGGAATCATTTAGATCAGAGCACATTGCATGAAATGTAGCAGATAGGTAGCATTTTTCGTTGTCAAAGCAAATTGAACACGAATTCCTACCCTGTAAGAGACAAAGACAAAAGATTAGTGAGGTTAACCATGTGGAGAAAAACATACACCTTAAAGTAGAGATAGAGTCCAGGAGAAATACTTGTGATGAATTGGCTTGCGGTTGCAGCAAGTTTTTAGTTAAACTTGTATTTGCCCCTTTTGAGTTCAAAGCTTTCCATACGCGAACAGTTGTTGTCATGTTCAGTAGATAGACAGCAAAAAGTGTATCTGTCTTGCTCTTAATATGCGTGTATCTTCCTGTATCGATATGCTTTGACGAGAGTATTGAGAGATTACTGTCTCTACTTTGATGAACATATGCAATGAGATAGGAAATTCTGGGCCCGTTCAAATGATCAACGCATTTTGGTTTAATATCAGTTAAGGCAATAAGATCTCCAACCTGTGGCACATATGTTCCTACACAAGTAACATCATAAAACAAGTCTTTAGGAGGTCCATGATTCTTAGAAGTTTTAACAGTCAGAATTTCGAGAGTAGGGGCCTGCGACAGATTCATCATGCTTGAGAGTAGATCAGCATGTGTTTCCTCAACAAGTGAAGGAATGAAAGATTTCATGTAACTCGTCACGGTAGAAAATGTATCAGGAATCTTTGTCACCTGCAAGTTGACGAAATGAAAGGAAAACTGACGTTGTAATTTTACAATACTACTGACAAGTACATGATCGAATACGAAAGAAATTAGAAGCGCCGGACAGTAGAAACAGCACAAATTAACCTGATTTCGGTAAAGATGTGCATTGAGAACATCCTCAAGTGACCAAGAGAAGACGATATTGATTAAGGGTCGAGCTGCTGCAACTCCATAATTGTTCAACTTACTACTCTCCTGACGATCCATTACGTACAAACTGATGGATCTTCGGATGATAATCGCAGTGACTTGAGTTTAAGGAATAGTGATGAAGTCAATGGCATCAATTAGCTTAGCTCTCCTTCTTGTTTAAGTATATACTTATATATTTTAGCAATCAAGTAGGGGACAACTTGAGCAAGAAGACTAGTCAATACAGGCTACAGAGAAAGAAACAAAACTTCCAGCCACCAAGACGACTAGGTACCAATGTTTTCATTAATTTATGATTGAAGTGCTTTTTCTTTTTCTTCCTTTTTAGGGGAAAAGTGCTTTTTCTTTTTTAAAATCATAGCTCTATTGGAACTTGGAAGTGAGAAATGAAAAGTCACTTGAGGTAAATTATAAGACATGATTAAAAATAAAAGAAAACTAATGAAAAATGTTTGAAAACTTTGAGTTTTAATGATAAGAACAAAATAAAGGCTAAAGTGAATAGTACCAGGATTGACTTAAGGGCCGGAGGAGTACTGAACAATTATGATGAATCAACAAACATGCAACCCCAACAGATGCTATTGAGTAACATAATCCGAATCATATATTTCAATAATAATTGTTTAGTTCGTTCCACATCGAGTGATGAAAGATACCAATATAAAATTCTACTCTTTTACATCAGGCAATGACGATGATCTTCACGAATCATATGCTGTGTAATGGCTGCTGCTCAGCTGCACACTGTTCATAAGGTTCAATCGCTTGTCAATTGCCATACACCACAGTTCAATCGCTTGTCACTCTGCAACTTTAACTCGTTCCTAAAAACAAAAACAGTTAGTACTAAAATTGCAACATTCAAACAAAAGACCTAACTCAAATTCAGGTAAACCCAAATTCAAACAAAAGACCTAACTCTAAATAAAAAATTAGAAACAAAAAATGGCAACCAACACGAAACCTTGAAAATCAACTAAACCCAAATTCAAACAAAAGACCTAAACCCAAATTCAAACAAAAGACCTAACTCTAAATAAAAAATTAGAAACAAAAAATGGCAACCAACTCAAAACCTTGAAAATCAACTGAACCCAAATTCAAACAAAAGACCTAACTCTAAATACAAAATTAACAAAAAAAAAGGGCAACCAAAAAGACACACAACTAACCAGAAAACAGCAAGACTTAAAACGCCAAGAAGGCGGTGTGCTAAGCGTTGGACCAAGGATGAGAAGACAAAGACAGAAAACTGAAGACGAAACATAAAGAGGCTAAAGAGAGAAGCAGAAAAACGATAGGAAAAAGCGAACAAAGAGAGGAGTGAAAACGAAACAAAAAGGGAAAAATCCTCTCAACAGAAACACTGCCGATGATCAACACGTGGAAAGCATGTACTGAAAAAGTAGAGCAAAACCCAAAAAAAAAAAATCAGAGGTGGAGGAATGAGAGTTGCGCATGCGGCAAGGACAAAACAGTCAAATCACTGTACAAAATCAACATTAAAATGAAGAGGAAGGAAAAAATTAGGGGCATTCTCGCCATTTTACTGCTCTAGAACAATACCAAGGGAGTTTGAGTTTTAGTATATATAATAATATAATGTCTCACAACAGCAAATATATGGTCATTCTTTTTACACAATTTATGTAGTTGAACATATCTTATAAGTATGATATATGGAAGAAAACGCTCACTGGTTAGTGACAATGGCGCAGGGTAGACTTTGGACACCGCAACCTGTGGAGCAAAAAATGCCAAAGTTGAACAAATAACTCAATTTCGAATTTATCTCTATATAAATGAAGTCAGATTTGGTGGTATCAAAAATACCCGTCACCTCTTACAGCTAAAGAAAACAGTTTATTAAGCAAGGACAAATTAAGTTAAAACCCCCTACATAGAAGGAGTTTGTTAGTATATGAGACTCTGGTTAGAATTCTATTGGGCTAGGTTATGTAAATCTATGTGAACCTAGGTCTACTTGTACAAAAAGTTACTTGACTAGAATTTATTATGATATTTAAGAAGAGGGAGGAGTTTTGAACCCGAGACGCATGGGTAGGAACCCAACATCATATCCACTAAAATATTATACCGTGTATTATCAATTGAAATGAATACAATTACAATCCTACAAAGTTACTAACCTTTTTGAAAAAAAAAATTTAATTATAAACTATAAATTAAGTTTTGTTTTTCTTCAAATAAAATGAAAATATCCAAAAAATAGTCAAGACTAAACTAAAAAAAAAAGAGCGCCTATGGCAAGAAGCTAGTATTTGTATAAAATGTGCCACCTTGAATCGAGTTTTTGATCACCTGGAGGATTAGCCACGCACTCCATGCAATGCAGCTCATCAGAATAAGAGCAGAACCCTTGATCTAGTTTTCCTAAACATGTTTGATGTTGCCATACTCTTCTGCGTTGTGAACATTTATTGTTAACTATGGAGGAATTGAAGAAGCTTAGGTAAGAAGAAAGTAGCGCGAACAAGAGAATTAGAGAGAATATGCAATCTGACTTTGTATTACACACAATGACCTTTTGAAGCAATTACATCAAGAGGTTATATAGTAACAGCCCTTATTTCCCTATTACAACATTACCCTTATCAACCTTTTCTTATTACAATAGTGCTCTCAACAGTTTTATCTAACTCTCAACCGACTAACTAATTTAACCAACCCCTCAACCATAACTGGGAAGGAATTGTAAAGCTGTGGTTGAAATCAAACCAAAATAAGATGAAAGTAGTAGAAACTGCTTTGACAAATCCTAATCCAAGATTATGACAATGTTTATTGAACACAGGACTATGTAAACCTTTAGTGAATACGGGACTCGTTTGGTTGTGCTTTTGAAAAAGTCAAAAGCGCTTCCTAATGAGTAAAAACACTTTAGTTTAAAAAAAAATGATCGTTTGACAAACATTTTAAAAGTGCTTTTAGCTAGAAGTAGAAGCACTAAGAATCATTTTCTAAGAAGCACCTAGGAGGTGCGTCCTCCTAAAAGTGCTGCACACAGAAAACAAGGGAAACACTTTGCTCAATTTAATGATTTTTTTTCAATTCCAAATTATCCATATTTTTTAATTTGCAAAGTCTAAAATGCTATTCCACTTTATAAAATCATCAAAACTACCATCAATAATTTTTTCTAGGGTTGCACGTTGAAAACACAAAAGGTTTTTTATTTTCAGATTATTTTGGAGGCTAGAGAAGTCCACTTGGTCTCCATCTCTTCCTCTCCATCTTCCCAAATCTCTCTACATCTTCATAACCTGAAATTTTTGTGGAGGTATGTATGTTATTTCTTATCTTAAATTTGTATGTACTGTGAGAATTTTATTGGTTATATATATATATATATATATATATATATATATATATATATATATAAAATTTTGTCGAAATTGTTGTGAATTGACTCGAAAACAATAAAATATGGCTTCAGAATTGAAACAAAAAGGAGAAAACATAAGCCAAACCTTCGGCCTCCTGTTGATAGAGAATAAGTGTCCCCTGCATATATGGATCTTTAAACCATCACCTTGTTTAAGAGAAAAGAAAGCCCTCTTATTATTATCTGTAGCATTATATGGATCTTTAAAATAGTAACGCAATGCACACAGTCATTCAAACAAGAAGGTTTCATATCCTTTGAGTTGAATATACATATAGATTATTGTTAGCCCACAAGTCATAACTAATTATTAGTCCAACATGCATATAGATTATTACAACTTCCATGATATTATGAAGATCCCCATCAGGAATCTTATCCTTGGTGTTAATATCCATGAGCTTAAATCCCTCATGTATGCCAACAACTTCCTCCATCGACAAATGCTCAGTACTACCTGTTAATCTAAAATCCCAAAAGAACCAAAAAATAAAAACATTAGTAATCGAGGGCACATACAAATCGAACTTACAATTACAACAACTTAACAATTAGTTTCTTGTTAAGGTCACAAATACTGCAAGCAGTGGTGTACTGCATTATATAGCAAGTATTAGATTACAAATCATGCATTATTGTTTTTAACTTAGTTTCGTGTTGTTAGTTAGGACATAAGCAATGGTGTATGCTCTTATTACGTGCTATGGTTTTTTTTTTTTTTCATAGATATGTCAAAAAATATAGTTAAGGATGTACAAGATGCATGTGGGGAAGGCAATGAAAAAAAAAAGCAAGGCAATGTGGGGTGATGCAAGTGTTGAGACATTTATAAGCATTTGTGTGGCTGAGACATTAGCCGGAAATCAAACAGGTGGTCATTTTAATAGGATTGGATGGAAAAATGTTATTAAGAAATTTAATGACCTTACTCAACGGTCATAAGTTCATAAACAACTCAAGAACAAATGGACAACACTTAAGAAAGAATGGATATTTTGGACATCTTTAGTTGATAAAGAGGCTGGCTTAGGATGAGATCCTGTGAAGCAAACTATAATTGCAAGTGATGAGTGGTGGGAGAAAAAAGTGAAGGTGAGAAATTATTATCTCAAATCAATGGAGAATTCAACTTCATATTTATGTTCTTTTATCATAATTTGTTAATTCTAGTTGGTAATATTTCAGGAGAATCCTGAAGTTGCAAAATATCAAAATAGTGGATTGAAAAATGTTGACCAACTGGACATTTTGTTTGAAGGAGTTGTTACAGGTGTAGGTGCGTGGGCACCCTCACAAAGGTTGATGAGTAATAATGTCCAGAAAGCTCCAATAGGTGAACAAAAAGACAGTCAAGATGATTTGGAGAATGAAATAGTTAATAATGATGGACTTGACGACATAGTCGATGCTGAGACACCTTCCCCTGCTCAACCTTCAACACAAGGAAAAGGAACAAAAAGAACAAGGGGATTCTAAAAGAGTTGGAATTGGGGCCAACATGATAAAACAATTAGATGGTATTTTACAAGCTATAAACAACTGTTCTAAAAGCAAAGATAAGCCTGGTTGTAGCATTGAGGAAGTGATGGAAGTTTTGGAAGGAATGCCTGAAGTTGTGAATGATGATGAGCTCTTTATGAAAGTTGTTGATATCTTCACTGAAAGAAAAAATAGAGAGATGTTTGTTGCATTGAAGCAATCTAATAGACAAATTATGTGGCTTAAGAGCAAGAAAGTTTGAATTGTCACATTTATTTTAGGATTATCGTATTTTGAGATGGTTTTTTTTTTTTTTTTGTGATTGAATAAGTATTTATTACATAATGGATTGTTTGAACATTTGCTTCTAATGTTTTTAATTATATGATTTTTATAACTTTCTCTAGAATGTGATCTTCATTTTTTGCCATGAATGTATATTGCTCTTTTATTAAATATTTCTTTGTGTTTACAGATATGAGTACTAGTAGCAGTGACAGTAGCAATACAAACACCTCTACTGATGGAAGTGATGATGAATTTGATCAATTGGTTTTTGCAGGC